CAGGAAGTAGGGGTGGAGCAAAGAGACTGGGAGTATTCTGGAAGCAGAAGCTCTCTCTCAGCCATTCCTGCGCAGACCACCAAGAGGCAACATGTAAGCTGTCATACTGAGAAAGGTACTGAGCCCATGTGGCTAACGTAGATAAGAATAATGGGGTAACATAAGTTATAAGAGCTAATAAGTAGCCAGAGCTAAGGGCCAATCAGTTTATAACCTTATGGAGTCCTGTGTGTAATTTCTCTTTGGGATTTGCCGGCTGTTGGGGTACCGGGCGGGACGGAAACCCCAACAAGCTGGCCCTCATGTTACAGGGTTTGCCAGGCCTTTGATACCATGATGCACACACTCAACAAAGGGCCTCTACACATGGCTGCTAACCAGAAGAGAACATGGGCTGAAAACCAGACTGACTAAAAAGAAGACAGTCATCTGAGGGCCAGCACTGCCCTCTCTCTGCTTCCTGATCTAAAGATAAGTGGGCAAGCAGTATCAAGCTCCCATCACCACAGAGCCATCTTCCCTGCCATAAAGAACTGCATCCCTTCAATGAACCAAAATAAACTCATCCCTTAAGACGCTTTTATGTAGTACCTGGTCACAGCAACTAAAAGAGTATAACACCCCTTCTGATTCCATTAATACTAAGTGGGCTACTTTGAAGTTCAAAAATCTGTAGCCAATCCTAGTGGATTTGCCAGGTTCAGAATATAGTCTGAAACACACACACACACACACACACACACACAATCCTGTATTCTGAAGCATGTCAACAGCACTCCAGTACCAAGACATAAGCATAGGTCATGAAACTGCACACCACCACAAACCGCAAGTTCACATACATATATCCCAGAGGTATCTGCATTGGCTCCTCATGCTTGTGTCTGGTACTGTCCATCTTCACAGGACCTGGGACAGTTGTTCTACGCTTCATTCGGACACTTTCCTCCACACTACAGCTCCATCACACCATACCACCACTAACCCCCTTTAGAAAAGAGGGTTACTATGTCCCTTTCCCAGACAAAGGCAATGGAGGCTAGGGAATACCATAGTGAAGTCACTCTGGATAAAACAAAAAAACGGAAAGGCAGAAAACATTTCCTTAAGAACTACAATAACAAGACTCCTCAATACAGCAGTAGGCTTCCAGCAGCACTGTGGAAGAAAAGTTTGAAAGACTTAATCATACCCCTCTGGTAGCGCCGAAAGAAGAAAAATCACAGTAATAACAACGCCAGCACAAGTATGTAGAGCAGAAAGCAAGTCAAGTCAAGACAGAAACATGATGTGCACTGATAGGTTTCCAGGGAGACAGTCAGGGACAACTGGAAAACCCTCTCTTCTGATGAACGCTTTGTGACTCCTAGAGACAACGGGACCTGGGGGTGGGTCAGTTCTGATGCCTCCGCTCTCTAGTCCTGTTATTTAATTATGCTATATCCTCACACCTGGAGAACGCAGAGTAGAATAAAATCTCAATTTAAAGAAGGATAAAGACCCATAAATTCAAAATGATACAACTGCAATACCAACTGAAATATTAAATATCACAAATAATTAGCACCATATCAAAATCAGTTGCCTAATTTTCCCCACTGTTCCTGAAATTTGCTAGTAAGCATTTATGAATCATTTCCCAGTCCCTTCATAAAATATTGCCACACTGATTATGAGTCATTTCTCAGTCTCTTCATAAAATATTGCCACACTGATTATATAAATCCACACCATTAGTAAGTTAAGCAAAATGCCACACTAGTGGAGGGGACATCCCATGCTGATGTGGTTTGGGGTTGACAACACATTTTCACTGGCTCCCTCAATCCTTATACGGGCTTCAGAGTCACTCCGAGTTTAGCCCCAAGGAACCCAACCAGGTGGTAGAGAACAAAGCACAGAACTAGACAAGTGTAAATGTTACGAACAGTCTAGATGCCCAAGGAGTCCCCAACCTTTTCGCTTGTGCTGACCCTGTGGGTTTTCTAGATAGCAAGACCATGGGGACCTGTTAAAAAGAAAAACAAGCTCTTCCGGTCTCTTTAGCAGAAGCAAGATAACGAAAGGAACATCATCCTTTGGAAAGCGTTGCAACAAGACGCACACGTTGTGCCTCCGCTGTGGCTCGAAGGCCTACCACCTTCAGAAGTCTACCTGTGGCAAATGCGGCTGCCCTGCCAAGCGCAAGAGAAAGTATAACTGGAGTGCCAAGGCTAAGAGATGAAACACTACCGGGACTGGGCAGATGAGGCACCTAAAAATTGTCTACTGAAGATACTGAAGATTCAGACATGGATTCCATGAAGGGACAACCCCTACACCCAAGAGGGCAGCTGTTGCAGCATCTAGTTCATCTTGAGGATTTCAATCTGCCATAAAATAAATGTTCTGGTTTCAAAAAAAAAAAAAAGAAGAAGAAGAAGGAGGAGAAGGAGGAGGAGGAGGAAGAAGAGAAAGAAGAAGAAGAAGAACAAGAAGAACAAGAGCAAGAAGATCAAGAACAAGAAGAAGAAAAACAAGAAAGCAGTCTAAATACATCTCACCCTTGCTCATGTGAGCCTCCTTGACTTGAACCACAGAAGCCAAGACCCATGATTACCCAGTATCTGTGCAGTAGCATGGGTTTGAACCAGATCTCCTGGTGCCTACCTGACATTACAGACTGACCCCACAAAGGAGATGCTAAACTACCCTTTTCAAAGAGCTGCCACAAAAACTTGAAGACTGCCTTTAGAGGCAACACAATGCTCCACTACCTACCACTGCAGGTCCCTGACTTCCCAGAGTCTCCATGAAAAAGTTGTGGCCACCTTTAACATGAATTCTGGCACTAATCATGTCAGGCACACGGGTTTTAACAGGCATCTATCTCTCTCACCTTTAACTGAGAGCAGTTTAGAGGCAGAGAGGCTTCAAGAATTAGTCCCAAGACTGAACTACCTAAAACCAAAAAGCTAACGATAGTACAAAGCTCACAGCATGGAAGTAAACTTTACAAAGGACACTTGCTGGTGAGGAGATCCTAGTCCTGGACCTTCCCACTCAATCAACTGTTGCCCCAGAAGAAAACAGAAGCCCAGGGACTTCTCCCAGAGTGAGACTATTTTAAGTGACTACAGCTAAGGGCCAACCCCAGGTCAGGGGCTCCTGGTAGCTGGCTCTCAAGCAAGAAGCGGGCCCTCTTAATAAAGGGATCCAGTTACTTCTCAGCTTCTGGGAAAAACTTATGTAAAACAAAAAAACCTCATCCCAACATCAAGCAAGCCCTAATACTAGAAAACCAGGAGCCCTTGCTCTCTCTCTTCCCGGTCTCCGTTCACTCGTTGCCTTCACTACATCAGGATATTGCAGAAATTAAATAAAGCTCGCCTATCAGCCGGGCCGGACTCTCTCCTAGGTTTGCGTCTCGCTCCGAAAAGGAGCTGGAGGAGCTGTCCCGACCCGACCCAGAGGTGCGACGGCTGGGAGGCGCAGGCTGTACAAAGAATCCCGGGGTCGAGTCCCAGGCAGAAGCGAAGGTCTGGGGAGTAGGTGGAGATAGGACTCAGGGGCGGAATCCATGCCAGGAGTCTAAGTTTTTGGTTTCCAGGAAGGAAGGAGGCAGAGGTGCAACGGGGTCTTAAGGGGCTCGGCCTTACGTGCTTGAGGCAACTCTCCTTGAGCTTCTCCACCGACGTGTCCTCGGTCGCCTCCTCCAGCCACTCGCTGCCGTCGGCTGCGCAGATGTGCAGTCGAAGCACCTTGCCAGCGAAGATCTTCTCCTCCTGCACGAACATCGCGCCGCCGCCCGAGCCTGTGCCTACCGCCCGAACCCGTGAAGGTC